CGTTCTAGAAAATGATAGAAGGTTGAGTCAACCTAGAGCCCTGCAGGATCGAACTCACAATGTTTTGGCAGCAGTACTCGCATTTAACCACTGCGCCACCAGGGATCCTTCTATGGCATTGGCCAGTTATTACATGATGATATCTCTGACCCGTAGCTGTGCCATCCCCAACCTGTCCCTTTTAATTGATGGGAGAAACCCATCAATGGCCTATCAATTGCACAAGTCCCCAGGTGTGAAATGTCGTTCCCCGGCTGTTGCATGATTAGGAGTCACATGGTGTCCTCTCCTACCCTGTCCCCCCTTCCCCTCTCTATTCTAGATTACTTTTAGTACCTTTAACCCACCCACCCCAATTTCTTTTCTTTCTTTCTTTTGTTTTCAATCACAGCAGCAGAGCTCTAGAATTGTAGGGGAAAGTGGGGATTTTAAAAACAAACCCTTAAAGGCATGCTGGGTAGGGCATTAGGCAGGGAGTCAGGGTTAAGGGGGAATCAGAAAGAGAGCATGATGGGGCCCCCGGTTTCACAAATGAGAGGAGGTGCATTGATGGCTGTCTTGAGAACAGCATTGTGAAGAGCCACTCCTTCACCTAACTTTTTCCCCCTCAGATGGCAGTCCTATAGGTTTCACTATCCCACCACTGCCACCAATTTGTCACGAGCATTTCTTAGGGCCTCGGCAGACGGCTTAAAAAGCCGTCCTGGAGGCAGGGAAGAGGAGGGGCAGCCGCACGCTCGGCGCCCCTTCCTCCTCCCGAGGTTGCCCTCGGAGCCGCCGGCCCTCCGCACGGGGAAAAGTCACTGCGGCGGAAAAGTCAGTGAAAGTAGCACTATTTTAGTGCTCCTTTCAGGGACGGGGAAGGTGCACCACAGGATCGAGGCATGGGGATGTCTCGGTCCTGCGGCGCACCTTCCCAGGGCGGCCCCGTGCCACCAGTCTGCTTCTCCCCTTACTTTTCTTGATATGGCAGCCCAATGGGTATTACTATCCCACTGCTTCCCCAATATGTAATGTACCAGACCACTTTTATTTATACCTATGGGTTTACTCCCCAAACTTGGTTTCTATATTTGTTAGTACCATGGATAAAGATTCCAGGTTCAGACAAGCTTGTATTAAAACAATAAAACTTTATTTAAATGATGGTTAACAATGTTTCATTTGTTACAATGCTGCATTTACTTGTTTTTGTTATATTTTGTTACACACACTCTACACACTCTAGAGAACAACAGTTACTATTTTTTAGGACTCTCACACCGTCCTTATTTATGCTTATTCTTTTAACCTTATTTCTATAATAGCCCTCAGGCTAATCAAATCCCAGAAACTCCCTCACTTGAAGTTCAATATTCCTCACTACTGGACTTTTCTTTCACAGGCCCTCACTGCTGGACTGGTACACATCCAGACCCAGTCTGACTCCAACTGTCAGCAACAAAATTCTTTATCACCTGCAGCCCAAAATCCTATTGATTGTTGCCTGCTTACTCACGATTGGCTGTTGCTAGCTTGGCATAATTCTGCCTGCTCTCCACAAGCAAGTTCCCATTTTATTTTAGTAGTGTAACTGGGCAGCAGCAGTTATGCAGGGTGGCACTGGTGGAAGATCTGAGGCTGGGGAAACTGAGGCAAAAAGAGGATATAAGAAGATCCCCTTCTCAGACAATGTCCCTGTGACTCTGGCCAAACAGAGACAACAGAGCGCATACTACTCCAGTGCTCATACTACAGGGACTTCCGCCTCAGCCATATCTCATCTCTATTGTATAAACATCAAGGACACACCAGTCAATTTTACACCTTTTTGCTGCTTTGAGACACCAAACTGGATACAACATATAATGTTGTCAGATTCTGTGCAGCTGCGGTTAAAATCTGACAGGCAATGATCTCAGCAGTACGCTAGTAATAATTTTGCCCTGCCACATTGGATTTTGAATGGATACTTTAAATACTGTTTTTAACCTGCATTTTTACCTTATTTTTTTTTACGATTACCTTCTTTTATTCTGTATCCCTTTTTACCTATGCTGGTCTATGACCATAATAAAAAGATGAACTGAACTGATGCAAAAATAAACATTTTCCTCTATGAGAAAGAGGAAGAAAAAACAAAACAAAAGTTCATTCTGAGATTTTTCAGGTTGTTTGTTGTTCCTAACAAAAATAACGTAAAATAATTTTAAAACATGATGATGATGGGGCAGAAACATCCTTTTAAAAGACATTACTGCATAACCAGTTAGTCAACTGAAAGGCTGTTCAGGTACAAAGGTTTCCCTGTCAGTGAAAGGAGAGCAGGGAGAGGGACAGCCTTGCCTCTTGGGGAAGGGCATTTCACAGTCTGGGAACATCCACTAGGAAGGCTGTGTCCTCACCAAATATACTTGTGTGAGGGATGAGACAATGAGAAATCCCTCCCCAAAGGATCTTAAAACTTGGGCAGGTTTGTATAGGGAAGTACAGATTTTCAGTATATTCAAATGCAGACCATGTGTTCTTTACCTTTACTGTGGTGCCACAAAACCCTTTTTACTTACCAAGTTCTAAATGACCAGAAGTGATTTCATTGATAAATTCTAAAGCAGTGATTTCACTGTCATCACCCCTTTGAAATTCTTGTTAAAGAATGGTGACCTTCAACTAATCAGCCAAGTGTATTTCCTACTAGTCTCTGAACTGTGGTGCATATATATTACTTCACTCAAAAATGGTGATAACATAGATTACACTGAAAAATGAGTAGGCAAACATGTTCCTGACCATATGACTGATGTCACCAGTCCTGAAATAGTACTCCGTGAGTGGATGTGGCAAAGAGGAGGCTTCTGCATTTGCTGCATGATGTGGTTTGTGTTTCTGTTATGTGGCTTCTTATTAATGGTGTGCAGCTTATTTAGATCAGGTGGCTGTCTGGACAGGTTTAAAGACAGGAAATTTATCCCATGGCTTCTACCACAAGAAATATTAATGGCTGGGAGATAGGTTCTCTTGTCCAGGATAGATCATAAAAAACTGACTAAAGTGGGTTTTACCTGGAATGCAGGTGTCATCGTAATCTATCACTTTGGTTTGCTGAATTTGCCATGTAGAAGTTTATTCTGATGAACATCTGCCCCAGTTCTCATTAATGAACTACCAGAAGCTAATGAAGCACTTTATTTAGTAATGAATTCCCTATGTAAATTTAAAATGCTATTTTAATTGGTTTCTGAATATTTTAAATATTTTGGCTGCTATTTTGTTGTGGTTCTCTGCTGCTATTTTCTTATTTTGTGTTGTAAACTGGAAGGATTTTACTAATCTGTTGTAAGCTGCCTAGAATTCCAGGGAGATAAGACAGAGTGTGCATGCTTTAAAACATATATAAATTCTTGACTAGAGTTTTAAATTCTGTTTCATTGTATTGAATGAATACAGCAGTCTGAGGACTGGAACTAATGCATTTCTGTTGCTAGACCTTAAAACAGATGTAGATTGGGTTATAAATAATAGGTAGAAACTGGAAACATATAGGTATGTTTATCAGCTAGTGGCTTCCTAATATAAAATAATACTTCTGTGCTTATATGTCATGTTGTCAGGACAGTGGTATGCAGAATGTGAACCTGATCTGTTAACAGCTCCACATGCCAGCTAATTTGTTATTGCTGTTGTTTGCCTCCAAGTCATTTTTTACTTATAGGCTTCATTTGTTTAGTTTTGAATATGATATAAAAAGATAAAAAATAAAAAGGAAAATAAACAATTAAATATAGACTTTATTAGGGTGTATTTTTGCAAGCACTTAAAGCACTGTGGCCAATACTGAGGTATGCACAATTAATTTAAATAACTGACAATTGATTAATTGCCAATCAATTTGTTACCTATGTAGATTATAGCCAAAGGACATAATTGAATCTCTGTTCCTATAGCCTTGTCCAGACACACATATGACAAACAAGAGGATGGATGAGAATTAGTTGCTTAGAGCCTCACATTCTTCCCCTCCCCTTTTTCTTCATTCGTGCCAACGCTTGTCCTCCAGACTTTGGCTGTGTCAAGTTGAACACAATGGGTCTGAAAGTCACTCCACTCAAGATCACTTGAATGGTTGTAGAACATTCTGATGGCTTTCTCTGATTGCATAAGATGTCTCACTTGCATCTAAAGGCCTAAGCAGACTGCCAGATATAGTGCACATTAAACTGAGGCACTGCCCTGGCTCAGTGCTAGGGAGTCATGGGAATTGTATTTTTTTTTCTGGGACATTGAGCCTTCTCCATCAGAGAGCTCTGGTGCTACAATAAATTACAGTTCCCATGATTCCCTAGCACTGAGCCAGGGCAGTGCCTCAATTTAATGTGCACTATTTCTGGCAGTCTGCTTAGGCCCAGAGTCAATGTGACCAGAGCAGACCTTGCCTCTCAGTTATAGGGGCTACATCCACACTGCAGAATTAATCTGGTTTGGCACCACTTTAACTGTCATTGCTCAATGCTGGGAATCCTGGGATTTGTAATTTGGTGGAGCACCAGAGCTCTCCATGACAAGTAAATATCATCTACAACTATATTAACTTTGTTTACATAAGCTTGAATCCAGGAACCATTGCATAATCCCAGGTCTTAAATTAAACTGAAAACCCTTATAGATACAGATATTTGTTTGGTTTTTTTAAAAAAAAAAGTTAATAATCAGCTATACCTGCAAATATAAGTCCAAATATATGTACATATAACCAATTCATCAAGCACCTTTAGAAGTAAAGATGTTCTTTTGAAATATTAAAGTGTAAATGGAGCAATTTAATTTTTTTCAGTTATTGGTAGAAAGACCACTTTTAATATTCCCTTTTAAATTATTGCACTGAGAGCCAGCATGGCATAGTGGTCCAAGTGTCAGACTATGACTCTGGAGACCAGGGTTCAATTCCCAGCTTGGATGACCTTCTAGGTGACCTTGAGCAAGTCACATGCTCTTGCCCTGAGAGGAAGGCAATGACAAATCTCTTCTGGACAAATCTTGCCAAGAAAACCCCGTAATAGATTTGCCTTAGCGTTGTCATGAATCAAAAATGACTTGAAGGCACACAACACACATGCACACACCAATGCACAAGACAAATATGGTTTAAGCCCCCAAATAAAGGTGTGCCCTCTTAGTTAATAGCTCTACTAAATAACAGTTAATTTGCCTGCCCGCTGGTTAATCAACTGCAGGTTTTGTGGTTCAGATTAATGCTTGCTACACTGACTGTAAATAGTTAGCCATCAGCTAAACAACTCTGGAACTCTAGTGAGAAGAGGAAACAAAATTAATGTTACTCATTTCTGAGGAAAGATGAAAAGCAAGCCAGGAAATCTATTTTGACAGCCACACAGCTATTCAGTTTCATAACTCCATTTGATTCCTTTGTCTTTCAGGAATCTTTTGGCAATGCTGCTCCCTTTACTGTGCAAGAATACTTATGACCTGGCTCTGAAAGTGAAATACGAAGAAAATTCCCTAAATATATATATTCATCCATCCTTGTCTTGGGATCATGGCAGATAAAGGCAAAACACAAAATATAAAAGGTAGAAAATATACAAATGTGTAACACGATAACTGCTGTCCAGCTGACTTCCACTTATGGTGGAACTTATGATAATTGTTAATTGCTGTCAAGTTGACTTCCACTTATGGTGACCCTCTGAATGAGAGATATCCAAATCACCATCTTATCATAGATATCTATCTGATTTTTTTTGTCTGTGGCACAATGTCCATTACAACCTTGTTATCAATAGCTCTGCTCAGGTCTTGCAAGCTCAGGACCATGGATTCCTTAAGTGAATCTATCCACCTGTAATGTGGTCTTCCTCTTTTCCTAATGCCTTCTACCTTGCCCAACTATCATTATCTTGACAATGGGTCATGACTTCTCATATGTTCAAAGAATGACAGTCTGGGTTTAATCATCTTGGGGCTCATTCAAACTATGATTTAACCTGGTTTTCAAACCACGTTAAAAGTGCCTCATTCACACTCAAACCGATTTCACCCCCAAGTGTATCCAGGGTGAATCGGGGAGAACTGGCACAAAGCCTCTTGACTTAGGTCATTTTGAAATGGTTCTTTTAGCAAATACGTGGGTTGCCCCAAAGATGAACACAATGCTATCACATCCAGGGTGACCAGGAGCGAGGGGCAATGGGCAGAGGGTGGCCAGAGGGGTCTTGCCAAACCGCCCCTTTCCCCCCTCTCAGCACTGATGGAAGTTCCATGGGGCTCCTTATGATTTCAAATTTCCCGTGCTGTCAAAGTGGTCACTTTAAATTACCATGCAGCTGTTTTTCCCTTCTGCTGGTGAATTGT